CAACACTTGGTTCGTATTGCAGACGTCGTTGAAACTCTTCCAGCCAATTTGCACATCTCTCGGGAGGTTCAGTTCAATTCACTTCGGTAGATTTGCAATTACTTAATTATATCTACTAGTAGTCCCTAGCTGCCACTGTTGATGAATCACAAAGTGTGAATAACGAAGTGAATTCACTCCTAAAGGTAACGATCGCTTGTAATAAATTATTTCCGCTAGATGGTCAGTGCCAGTATTTTACGTTAGTGTGAAATAAGGTCACAATGTAAAGTAAATATGTTCTGACTTGTGATTTATTGAAGAGAAAGTAAATTTAGTAGACGATACATTATTGAATAAAACATTTCAGCTCTAAAGGGTCATTTATGTGTTATAAATTATAAATTCTATATTAAAATTACATGTACTCAAACTTGTTGATATTTTCTCTGTAGTAATACAATAATTGGTTAATTAATGCATGCACCTTATGATGCTATCACCATTAATATGATACACTTTGTATTGTTCTGTTTAATAATGTTTAACCTGTTTTTTCATTGTACATTTTCTAAAACATTTTAACGATTTTACCATATTATAGCGAATCAACTACTTATCACGTTTTAGTGTGCTCATGAGAGTAAGAAATTGTCATTTTGAATCAAATCTTTTAATAAGGTTGCGTGCTGCATGCACCATGTCACAGGGAGTATCCAATCAGCGTCTCACCAATGTGTCCATTTAATCAGGTCGGCCGCCAGGCATGTCACCCTCCACTTCAATGATTTAGTGAAAACACCCAGGTAGGATTTCACCCATATTTTATTACATGGGTCCTTCTAGTTTCAACTATTTTACATACAATAGGTTTGACGAATGTAATATAGGGTTTGTACGTCCACCGAGGAATATTCAATGTCTTATAATGTACGTCGTAAAGTATATGTCATGTATGCAAAGTTACTTCTTGACACGTCCCAAAAAGTTGGGTAAGATTTGATGCACTCAAAGCCTGTTTATGTCCTGTGTGAAGTTATTCTGATTGGCTAAAAAGGAACGGTGATCAATTCGTAATTATTCCTGGTTTATTTATACGTATATTGACGTTGTTTATTGCACAGATTCTGTACATAAATATAAACATAGAAAATAGCTTTTCAGGCTCTTGATACGCAATTTACAACTCTAAAATAAGCCACTATTCATACGTCTCTGATTGACTGATTCCCTCAAATTTATAACGACAGGCAAGCAGTCATCTAGTTGCACTCATATAATAGTCGCGCGAGCAAATGAAAGAGTGATTAAACCCATCATTGCTTGGGCTGATAATGACATAAACTAATTTGGGGATTATGAGCGATTAAAGAAATGAAACTACTATACACTAACAATCCGTAGAACGTGTGTAGGTTACAAAACGATATTGAACGTTACTGTGACGTAACACGGGCCATAACATGCAACGACAGGAAACAAAACAAAACTTTAATGTGACTTTAATATACTACCGTGAAGGAATTCATGTTCATATAATACGTACTATTACACCCCATTTATAACGTAGTGATATATTCCACTACATTGAACTAATATGAGGTTATTACGAGGATACCTCAAAGTATGCATGAAGACAGCGGGAGTATCGACCGACGCGCAGCGATGCGACGGCGTATTAGTTACACATCGAGTTGGCAATTGGTTTTCATTTTTGCATGAAATATTAATTACAAACACATTACTAATATATATATAAACACAACAAACGAGATTAGAACGAACACCACGCCAAATACGTCTCACCAAATAGCTGTTCCAAAATATTTTATTCTAGCTGACCTGGCACCTGTCATAACCTATATGTCAACATAACCTATATGTCAACATAACCTATATGTCAACATAACCTATATGTCAGCATAACATATATGTTAACGTAACCTATATGTTAACATAACCTATATGTCAACATAAAATATATGTCAACATAACATATATGTCAACATAACATATATGTCAACATAACCTATATGTCAACATAAAATATATGTCAACATAACATGTGTCAACATAACATATATGTCAACATAACATATATGTCAACATAACCTATATGTCAACATAACCTATATGTCAGCATAACATATATGTCAACATAACTTATATGTCAACATAACATATATCTCATCATAACCTATATGTCAATATAACTTATATGTCAACATAACATATATGTCATCATAACCTATATGTCAGCATAACATATATGTTAACGTAACCTATATGTCAACATAACCTATATGTCAACATAAAATATATGTCAACATAACATATATGTCAACATAACCTATATGTCAACATAACCTATATGTCAACATAACATATGTGTCAACATAACATATATGTCAACATAACTTATATGTCAACATAACATATATGTCATCATAACCTATATGTCAACATAACTTATATGTCAACATAACTTATATGTCAACACAACATATATGTCAACACAACTTATATGTCAGCGTAACCCATATGCCAACATAACCTATATGTCAACATAACATATATGTCAACATACCTATATGTCAACGTAACCTAAAACAGCTTTTGTTTGAGTAGCTTTTTTTGTTTTCAAAATTTGTTTCACCATGTTGTTTATAAAGCGTTCTTTTATGTTATTCTACGCATCAAGTGCATTTATATTGTACAAATATACACTTCACGGTATTCGTGTTGAAATATGTTTTATAACTATTATTATGTCGAAATTCCTCTATCTGACTTAGAGTGTGCATTTCTACCAGTTATTGGCACTTATATCACATTATAACCTAGATTAGCGTTGACGTGATGCACATGGCATTGACACGATAATACGATTAAACGTTTAAGTATGTTTCAATGATTAATTCAATCCCTTATAGTTGACCCACCTTGAGTCAAGCAGTAATGGATTTGCTTTGTTTTTTTAAAATATCCGACCAGCTGTTCGATTTGCTTCTAATCAATTAGAAAATTGTGATTGTCTGACGATGTTCCTCTATTAAATGTTCGTTATATGTCCACTCTTACTGTATTTAGCGCAATCATAAATGAACGTTTGATTGAAGAGCTGCGTTCATGTTCGATATAGTTATATGCGACGTGTGCAACTCACGCGCGACTATGAGATCTCAAAGACGATATGTACCAGCTTCTATCTGCTGTATTATGCGGCTGACAACCTACCTGTCCACCCATCCCTCTCACTAATTCATATCGAATGTGACACGTACAGGTCGAAGGTGGTGGTGTATTAATCGTGGGTAATAACTACGCCCGAAGTGAAGGGACAGCACAAGAACAGTTTATTGAATGTATAACATGAATGACGACTGTGTGAAACCATGTGTACTATAATCAGTTTGTGTTAATGCTATGTTAATTGAATTGTCCGAGTTGATGCTATCCCCATATGTCGCCACGAAACATCGTTTGTATCAATGAAGGAAGAATGTAGGATTATTAAACTAGACCTACATATGTTTATTGACATGCAAATTTCGACAACAGATGTTGAACTTACACATTTAAATGAGATATTGACATCACCACCATAGCGTATTTATATGACCATTGCAGGAGGATGAGCAGTTGACACCCTTGCCGATGTTAATGATTTGCATCTATTCACTCGATTATCCTAATTGTAATTATGACTAACAAATTTAAATATCCCCCAAAAGGATTTTAAGTGCTGTGTTCTTTAAATGAATACTACTGTAGGCTACTGTACGCATCATTAATACATTTTAAATGTGTTATCGTTGTCGGCTTTGATATATATGTAAATGTACAATTCAATGCTGAGTGCATTGTTCCAGGCTGGTACATGATAAGTAATCGACCTTGCATTATGATTAAATCGAAACCTTACTTGATGCCTTCAAAGTTCTTGTGATTTGTATATGCTCTGTGTTTCCTTCTAAGCGGCAGACAAACTGTGAACGATGATTACAGAATGCCTCCAGTGTACCTTCTCGGTATTATAATGAAATCATAATTACAATAATGAAATTTGTCCTGAATATCTGAATCAGCACTATAGTATCACATTGTTTGGTACTGATTACTTTATTATGAACATTGATATAAAACACACGTAAACACATAAATGTGGTATAAATGCCTCGTATCCTTAAATGATCAAATATCTCCATTATCATAAGACATTAATTCGTCGTGTGTATTGGACTTTCAATCACGCCGGCAGGTAGAACAAACAGACCTGGGTATGAGCTAAGACATTGCTAATAGGAATATTACTATCCAGTGAAATACTTGATGTGTGCTTGCTTGCGTCGACGTATAATATATACAAGGGAACAGCAGCGCTGAAATCAAATCATAGAAATAAATGTATAACTACGTATACGTAAACTATTTTGTATTTAATTGATCAACTTCACTAAATTAGAATATATCAATCGTCAGAAATTTAACTTGTACATTGCCATCTAGTCGCTGTCGAACTGCGTTCACTATACGTCATTTCGAACTAGTTAGTATTGCGTGGTTGATAGCGCGTCTAGTTACAGTGGTGAGGCTGTGATCATAAGATCAAATCATCTGTCTCATGTTGTGATATTTGTCTGATTGTTAGCATGTAACAACATATAAGAACTCACCTATCTGTGAAATGTACACTCATCTTCAACATAAATGTTCAGTACCAAAAGTGTTATATAAATAACGACATTTCCCTATGCATCACGGACATTGGCACCTGGAATACCACTTTCAATAAAAACAAATGCATGTTTCAGGCAGATAAGAAAATAATAAATTGCACAACAATTTGGCTTAGTCGAATGTTTTCTGAATTGAAGATTGATATACATGATAGTTAAACCGTTTCCTCGTTCACATCGTACAAGCCATCCAGTGAATAGTTCAGCGAATGAGTCACAAAACGATATCCATTAGCAGTCACATCCTTATTACCGCCGGGGCTTGAGATATAAGGTCTACCTTCACGGCTTTTCCGACAACAGCAACATATACAGAAAATAAAGCCAAGTAATTACAACCACAACTCCGATAAGAAAACTTGCAGCGACAGCAACACTTGCATTTCCAAAAACTGATGATGACGAGGTAGCTTCTGAAAACAAAAGTTATATTTATTATTCATTAAGTGGAATGTTATCATATTTACAAATACAGGTCAAAGGTCATAGTGTAATTAAGGTGATTTGAACATAAAATACTTGCCGTCATCATGGCAACCATCGTAATACTCATCTCTACCATCTCTGCAGTCTTTTTTCCCATCACAACGACGAAAGTCTGGCAGCACAGCCAGACAACTATCTGCAAAAAGAAAAGGTAAGAAAGTATATTAGTGACAAATTGGTTCATAAATAACAGCCAGGGAATATAAAAATGTCAGTTTATCAACATACCTCCGTAACAAAGATCGAAATCTTCATCACTACCTTTATCACAGTGGTCAATACCATCACATCGTAATGCCCATACAAGGCAGATACCCTCGCCATTTACCAAACACGGATAACATAAATCATCTGCAAACAAATACAATAATATAATTCCATTGAGTGTCGGCATTTTATGTGTACCTACTGCAAGAGCAGGGGGAATTGCCACAAAAATGTATGAAGTCTAACCATCACAATGTATAACTACTTTTCGGAATGGGTATCGTTTATCGGTCAGAATGCGTGACGTCTAACAATCAGAATACATAACGTCCAGCAATCAGAATGCATAACGTCTAACAATCAGAATGCATAACGTCTAGCAATCAGAATGCATAACGTCTAACAGTCAGAATGCGTGACGTCTAACAATCAGAATGCGTGACGTCTAACAATCAAAATGCATAACGTCTAACAATCAGAATGCATGACGTCTAACAATCAGAATGTATAACGTCTAACAATCAGAATGCATAACGTCTAACAATCAGAATGCATAACGTCTAACAATCAGAATGCATAAAGTCTAATATTCAGAATGCATAACGTCAAACAATCAGAATGCATAACGTCAAACAATCAGAATGCATAACGTCTAACAGTCAGAATGCATGACGTCTAACAATCAGAATGCATGACGTCTAACAATCAGAATGCATAACGTCTAACAGTCAGAATGCATAACGTCTAACAATCAGAATGCATAATGTCTAACAATCAGAATGCATGACGTCTAACAATCATGATGCATAACGTCTAACAATCAGAATGCGTGACGTCTAATAATCAGAATGCATAACGTCTAACAATCAGAATGCATAACGTCTAACAATCAGAATGCATAACGTCTAACAATCAGAATGCATAACGTCTAACAATCAGAATGCGTGACGTCTAACAATCAGAATGCATAACGTCTAACAATCAGAATGCATAACGTCTAACAATCAGAATGCATAAAGTCTAATATTCAGAATGCATAACGTCAAACAATCAGAATGAATAACGTCAAACAATCAGAATGCATAACGTCTAACAGTCAGAATGCATGACGTCTAACAATCAGAATGCATGACGTCTAACAATCAGAATGCATAACGTCTAACAGTCAGAATGCATAACGTCTAACAATCAGAATGCATAACGTCTAACAATCAGAATGCATGACGTCTAACAATCATGATGCATAACGTCTAACAATCAGAATGCGTGACGTCTAATAATCATAATGCATAACGTCTAACAATCAGAATGCATAACGTCTAACAATCAGAATGCATAACGTCTAACAATCAGAATGCATAACGTCTAATAATCAGAATGCATAACGTCTAACAATCAGAATGCATGACGTCTAACAATCAGAATGCGTGACGTCTAACAATCAGAATGCATGACGTCTAACAATCAGAATGCTTGACTACCAGAATGCGTAACGTCTAACAATCACAATGCATAACGTCTAACAATCAGAATGCACAACGTCTAACAATCAGAATGCATGACGTCTAACAATCAGAATGCATAACGTCTAACAATCAGAATTCA